ACGGCTACGTGAAGACTCTTTAGAGGAGAGATTGTTAGTTTTTAGGTTTAGAATTAAATCACGCTCCCTTTATTTGGGTGCAATTTATAGAGAAGTTTTTGTTATTTTTGAGTTATTGCCACAAATGGTGATTGTAGGAGAATGTCAATATTTAAAAGTGCTGTTATTATGACGAGGGAGAATTACAAAGTTTGAAAACAAAATCTGAATACTGGTTTGTACAGTTTGTAAGTAACATACAACATGACACGCGCACCTACGGCCCTTACATAAACACACCTTCACACACCCACACACACACTCCCCTAAACTCAAAGATATGTATCTAATTAATATGAGTATACTTTATAAACCTATACACACTGTATACATGGATATATAAAAGCCATATATACATGCATATATAACTCGAATTTGGATAGTAAACTACTCTTTCTTTATCATTGTCATATAAATTGATGGATGTATTAAATCTATCATAGGGCATGCGCCAGATTGGTCATACGCCAATGACTAAAAGTAAACAACCATACACCAATGACTTCAAATCAACGATCATACATAAATGACTATAAATCAACGACCATACATAGATGACTATATTTACATTCTGTATTGCATTTGCCGATATTTCGTTAGTAAACCAAATTGCAGTATATGAGACTGTATACTACAATTTATAGTGATGCGGCCAGTGTAGGAATGCAGCTGGTACAAGATAAACAAACATGGCCGCCCGATACCTTCGGTATCAATAGGCCTATAGTCGGAAGACATTCTGGGTTCGTAAGCAATTAGCAATATAGGTCATCCCAAAAAAATAAAGCAACTTGACAAATTATGACAAGATAAATTTATTATAAGATGTGTAGGTACCACACAATTATTGTAACCGCCATTCTAGATACGAAATTACCAAGTTTGTCAACGTCATCACACAGGGAATCGGTTTCGAGATTTTGAGTTATGCATAACATCAGTGAATAACCACAACACTAAAATTCAGCATTTCTCATGCCCTAACGGGCGACATTCTATTTATCTGTCACCCAAATTGCATTCATATCGACTGTATACTGTATCTGGTAACAGTTCAATGCTTAAATAAATCAACGACCATACACAAATGACTAAACATCAACGACCATACACAAATGACTATACAACAACAACCATACATGACTATACGTCAACGACCATATATGACTATACAACAACGACCATACGTAAATGATTTAAAGACAACGACCATACATAAATTACTATAATTCAACGACCATACATAAATTACTATAATTCAACGACCATACATAAATGACTATACAACAACGCCCATACATGACTATACAACAACGACCATACGTAAATGAATATACATCAACGACCATACATGACTATACAACAACGACCATACATGTACAATACCGACCATACATGAATGACTATAATCAACGACCATAGTTGACTATACATCAACGACCATAAATGACTATACAACAACGGCAATACATGTACAACAACGACCATACATAAATAACTATACATCAACGACCATACATGACTATACAACAACGACCATACAAAAATGACTATACACCAACGACCATACACAAACGACTATACATCAACGACCATACATGACTATACATCAACGACCATACATGACTATACAACAACGACCATACAAAAATGACTATACAACACCGACCATACATAAATGACTATACATCAACGACCATACATGACTATACACCAACGACCATACATGACTATACGTCAACGACCATACATAAATGACTATACAACAACAACCATACACAAATGACTATACAACAACGACCATACATAAATAACTATACAACAACGACCATATAGGGATTGAATGGATTTTTGTTCATGTACATTGCGGCAATTCATATATTTACGTTACGATGAACAACAATAAAAAAAGTTGTAACACTTTTTGTAAATCTAATATTTTTGATATCAGTATCGGACAGAAAACCATCAAAAGGGAACAGCCAGAACTCCAGCCTACACACAAACTTCAAAGGTTCGACTTGCGCCGATCAGCTGATTTGTTAAAACGAAAAGAAAACCACTATAATCTTATAATAAACAACGCTTGGTATTTCCTTTCATTTTTGAAAGTTGATCTTATTTCATGTTTTTTGCATTTAACGCCGCAAATTACATATTTAGTAAAAGTTTATGTCCGCATTATCTCAAACAACGGTCACCATAGTAACTATCCAGGGCATTCGTCGGCCGAGCATCCCGTCGGCGGTGCGCAGTGCTCATTTAAAGTTGAATGTAAATCCGTGGTAATGTGCTGTTTGCCTGAAATCCTTCTGAGGTAAATGAAGATAACTTGGTGGATGAAGTGCCCTGTGTCATTACAAAGTTCTCCGATGTACTAGTTGATGTCACGGGGACTACCCAGCCAGACGTTTGGGTGTTCGAAAGTTCGTGACCACGATAGCGAGGAACCGATGGCGAGTCGCCATTACACATTATGATTATGTCCCGCGATGGAGTAGCCAAGATAGTGTGAGGCACTTGTGGTACCCGTAAGTGTTCTGGACTACCGTCTGAGTGCATAGATAGTGGTTGAATAGTTTTTAAGCGAAAAGTCAACAACCATACACAAATGACTATTCATCAACGACAATAAATAAATGACTCTACAACGTCGACCATATACCAATGACTAAAAGTCATCATCCATACATAAATGACTATGAATAAAAAAAAACATACATAAATGACTATGAAACAACAACCATATATAAATGACTATAAATCAACGACCATACATAAATGATTATGAATGAATCAACAACAATGAACAATTTGATTAGATTTAAACTTTTAAAAACTTAACATAACCAATGCGTTTGTAGGCCGTATACTTGTATGTGAACTTAATAGGTTTTAAATGCCTGTTGCCATCTGAGAATTATAAATTATAAATTCAATCGAAATTTGAATAAGGGACCATCATTGCATCAAATCGATCTCGCGTTTACTCGGACTTTCCGAATTTGTATGGACATTAAACATGTTAATTCAATATATCTCGGCATATATATACAGCTAAAGCCTCGTTATACCATCACTTTCTATCCTCTGTAATTTTTGGCAGTATAACGAGTTTGGCGGTATATCGGGTTTACCGTTTTTAACCCAAGTGTTCACACACCAATCGAACTTATACTTTTAAAAACAAGAGGCCCAAGGGCCTTAGCGGTCACCTGAGTTATATCATAGATACTGGTAGCTTTATCTTATTGTTTAGATGTGATGTGGAAATCAGCATGTAAACTAAGTGAAATACAATACTTGTCATGTCATCAATGGATAAGAATTTGAAAATATTGGTAAATGTTCCCTTTGGGGCCCCGCCCTAGCCCCTGGGGATGGGGCAGGAATCCTAATTTTACAAAGTAAAACTCTCATTTACCCAAGATGATTCTGACTAAGTTTGAGCAATTTTCTGCTGAAAATGGATAAAATATATACCGAAAAGTGTTATTTCCCTATATAAACTATA